TAGCAACCAGTGAGCATATGCAATCATAATGTGAAACTTAGGGCTCACTAACAACGCAGATTAAATTCATAACATGATTGCTTTTTCATCAGGAAACTTGCAGAGGGAAAGAGGATGAAACCAGGAAATCCACCCTGCCTTTAATTTTGGAATTCACATCTTGTACATTTCACCCTCAAGGCCCAACATTGTGTTTACTCCAAAGTTTTATTGGGATCTATCTTACTGAAAGACTTTTCTGGAGAGCAGCTCCTAACATATTGCCACAGAAACCACCCCTGGCAGTGGAAACTTAAAAGTGGATTAATAACAAAAATATAGACAGAACTCAAAGCATCTAAATGCTGCCAACAAGATAGCTTAAAAATAACACATCCAAAAACTATTCAGTTCTGGTAACAACTGATAATCAGTATTGCACAATACAATAAAGCAATTAAATGCACTTATATCCTCTCTTCTTCATGAGCAACTAAAAGCATTGTTCTTTCAATGTATTCTACTGCAGTATATGAGACTTAACTAGATGTTAGAGTGGTGAGATAAGCATTTAATTGAGGATGTAGTATGCTAACAACCTACTTATCACAGCACTTGGGATTCAGTGATCCGGGAACCATTAAAGATGATCTTTTCTGAAGAACTCCTTGAAAATGACAAGTCCTTTCCACTCACTGTCCTCTAAGCTACCTCTTATGAATACCGTATTTACCTTCTGGAATTTCCTTGTTCTTCTCTGTGTCTGTCTCCAAGGGGAAGCTTATATTCTCCTGCGTTAAATACATTGCTTTCATCTATTTCTCTAGCTAGATGAAAGCCTCTTCTTACATAAAGAGGTCTGAGGCTGCATTCGGTTGTGCTCTTTCTCCCTCTGCACTGTTCTTCCTGCATTCAGAATGCAACTACCAACAGGGAAGTGTTGGGAGTTCACTGCTTGGAGGGTCTGCAGTGCGAGTCATGTCAAAAAGAAGAGTTTTCTGTAGTGCTTCTTACAGGTCCTAGGAGCATCCCACTTTCCAGATGCCTGTTCCAACTTTTCTTATTAAGTGATAAGAGTTATTATCTTTCTTATTAACAGAGACACTCTTATCTTAAATGAAAAAATGTACAAACTTGTTCTCTCTCCCAGGTTTGTGTTCTGCATCTGATAGAGTGGGGCACTTTATTACTGCTGCTCACTGGTTCACTCAGACTACCTCTGCATTTCCAGAAGTGGAGAAAAATGATCACAATAGAGAAACCACAGCAGGATACAGCTGAGAGAAATGCCTGCTGCTAAATTGCCTTGAAGATGAAGAAGGGTAAAGGAAAGGCTGAAAAAAAGGCTGAGCTTTCAATCTCTCCTGTCTGGCAACCTAGTCTGAAATATAATACTTCATTTTCACCTTTGTATGAGGAAGAAGCATGTGTGACATGTTTTTAGTATTTAGCACGTATTTAGGGTTTTCATACTGTATACGTTGCATAAAGATATCACCGGGATCCTCTTCATAGAGCTGTTGCTGTCAGCAGGAGAAGCAATTACTAAGTGAGGGCAGAGACATTCACTTGAATCAAGGCTTTGCAGCTAGATCACATATGGGTACTAGAGAGCATATGCTTTGTAGTAAAATATAATTCGTAATATTTATGTAGATTTGAAAGTGGCTGAACAGCTGGGCAGGCGAGCTGCAGGGTGTTTCTGCGGGTACCTGCTTGTGCTTTATCTCTTGCAGTAGCAGGAGAATCTCTAAACCATCCATTTGCAGAGATGGGTTCTATTGCTGGGAAGACATAATAGCGTTCCCTTAGGTGCTCCCATCAACTATCTGTTCAGCAGCCACTCTGAAAACAGCTCTGAAACATTACTGCGCCACTTCTATCACTTTTTTCTTCTCCATAGATATGGAGAAGATATTATTTTTTTGCTAGCTTTCCCTTGTTTTCCCAGAGCACTTGACACTCACTGGCAGTCATTGTCTTCATTCTTTTATCCCACTAATAGGCTTTTTATGCCTCAGGATAGCCTTTAAATCAGCAGGCCCGATCTTCTGATGAGCTGATCGCCTGCCATTCTACCTGGCTTCAGCTGGCACTGGGAGCACTCCGAACTACTGAGAATGAGCCTTCAAATGAGCAGCTGGTAGCATGAGCTCTTTGTTAGCTCTGGCTCCAACCCACTTGTGCTGATCTGCTGTTTTAATAGCTTCGAACTTTCTTAGGTCATTGAGTCACAATTCATTTTCTACTGGAGTTGATGATGGGAAAATCTACAATTGGTGAGAGATAAAGGGAAAGAATCTGAGTTGCAATTTGATTTACCCTTTCCTTCCCATCACTCTCTAAGTTAGTGACTTAAGTGAAAAAGTTGAACTACCATACAGAATAAAAGAAAGATTTAATTTTGAACTCATTTTCCACACTGTGGTGAGGTGACTGCTACAAGTATTTGTATAGGCTTGTTGCAACTGAATTCAGAGCATTAATCTGGGGTTGAAATTCTAATCTAGTGCTACTGTTCCTGCAGGAATACTAATTCCATGTTTTAGCATGCTACATAGCTGTGATATTTCAATCAAATAGCATAGAGGGCATAGACACTCTTTCTATGGGGTGTTGATGAAACTGGAAGAGTGCAGGAAAATGGCAGTGGGGTAACTCTTGGTAGCAATATAAAAGAGAGGAATGAATTAAAGTACAATAGCTGCAGTGACTGCCTATTTAGTGTACTCACATATAATTTACCCTCACAACAACTTTGCCCTGTGATGGAGGCAGGTTAAATGATGCAAACATTGCTCAGAGAGATGGCACTGCAGTCCTCTAGCTGGGAGTAGTGTTCGTAAGGACAAACGATGTGTCAAAGCTGGGAAAAAGCAACCTTTAATTACTGTCTTATCCTTTGTATTTATCTATTTCATCTGAGAACAGTGCCTTCTAACTGAACCAAGATAATTCCAGAAAGGAATAAAATCAGCATGGACTCGAGTGAATACATAAAATGTGGGTCGAGGTTCCTAACACTGTATTAGAAAAAAAAAAAAAAAGCTTGATTTCTATCCTCTTTTGATCACACCTAAAACTTCCTTTATCTGCATCAGAAGGGCTTTCTGTTGTAGTATTGTGTGGTTTATGATTATCTACTGAAAAACATTACAGTCGAAAATCAATGCATAAATTGTAGTGGTCTCCACTTGTGGTGTTAAAGATAAAAAACAATTGGGCTCTTCTGAAGCAATTAATGATATCAATATGCTGTAAAAACAATTAATATTTTTTCCTGGGAAAAAAAAAAACCAACACATCTGTGTCCTCTGCTTCCCAAATCTTTCACTTTTGCATTTGAGTTTTCAGTCCTGCAGATCTGCAAGGTAGTTTGTATGAAAGGTGTTGGGAGAAATTCTCCTGTACAGAAAGTACAGCTGGCAGGGAGGGTAGAAAAGTTTGTTGATTTCTCACTCATAATTTCACTACTAAATGGACCAAAAGAGGGTAAGTTAGGGGCTAGTTTGGTGTCTTATTTATTAAGGACGTATTCCTCCTGTGGGGTTGAAGTTTCTCAAAGTTGGCCTTGCTATGTACAATAAATTTGTCTTTGCTGACCCTGGGAAGTTTATGGGCTTAGATTTGAAATAAGAGCATCTCACAGTATCTACAGGAAGGTGACAAACTGATGGCATTGTCAGCCAGGTTTGATTCCTAAATTGGATTCCAGTTGTTCTAACATCAACTTTAAAATGAAATTAATGGTGAAATGAGATACTGAATGGAGTACCAGCAATCACTGCAGTAAATGGGGACAGACCTGTGTTATGCAAGTCTGATATAATGAAGAGAAGCAGCCAATACGCAGAGCAAGAGCCAGAGAAGGAAAAGAGATTCTTTATTTGAGGAAATGATATACATGAATTCTTTTTTACCAAATCCACAGAATAACTGAAACTGGGAGATCATAGAACTATAGAATAGATGATTAATTCCTAGAGCTGTGCAGATGGTAGATGTCTGACTCTGTAGTAACTGTTATACAGAATCATAGAACTGTTTGAATTGGAAGAGACCTTTGAAGGTCATCTAGTCCAATTCCCCTGCAAGGAGTATTTGTGGACTGTTTGTTTTGAAGATGTAGAACAATCTGTAAGTCTTGAGGTTCAATCACAGACTAGGAAGAAACTGTTGCTGGGTGAATTAATTCTCAGTGATGCTGCGTTAAATCAAGCTGCGTATTTTGTTTAAAGATAAGCTGAAAGCCATAGGATAAGTTTGTCAAAGTATGAATAGCAGAAAAATCTTATTAATGACTCTATAGACAATAACATGGTTCTGTTTGATTTATGAGTACTCAAAACCCGTTAGACTTTGATGTAGACTTAGAATATTTGAGAGGGTATTTAAGAGGTTTGTGATGGGAATAGCATTTAAAGTGTGTCATTGGGCCTGGGAATACTTCTTGTATCATTGTTGATGCCTGGAATATTTCCTCTTTATTATTGCTTTTAATTTTGAATGATGTATGCAAAACAATAGAAGAAAGGAAGCCAAAACCTTTACTGTGTTCACTTCAGCCCGAAGTATGAAGAACCAGAAAGAGATATTTCTTAGATGGAAATACAGTAAGTTTCTACTTAATTTTATATTGTTCTGTAGAACTGTATCCCAGAGATAAGAATGGGTTAAGGCTCCAGAAAAACGTGACAATATCAATGACATGACATTGAATACATGCATATAGACGTTTGTGTGGGGTTCTATGTAGCAGTCATAAACCATCCTGCAAATTTCCTTTCACTAATAAGCAATTTAATGGAAACTTGATAGCATATGTGCATAAAGTTTGATGTGTTTCTAGTTTTTTCACTTTAAACAGTGACTAATCCAAATTCTGAAAAACAGCATTAGTGACTCTTTTTTGCAAAATACACAATGAACATTTAACTTCTAATCTATGCGCTTTGTATACAGATTCAATACATTTCTTAAGCTTCTGAAATGTAATTACTTATTCTAGCTTGAGTGTACGTATGGGAACCGTTAGGTCATGACCTGAACCAGTGATTGAGCACCTGGTGAAGAGGTGTGGCCAGCCCTGGAGCACAGGTGCAAGAAATTCTCTTGTGACTGGAAGGGTGGACCCAAGGTCCACCTCTCCCTAACCTCATTAAGGGTTGGCAGCCAAGAGGTAAACCTCTTTACTTGGAGGTTGCTTCCTTCTGAGAGTTTTCTAGTCAGCTTGTATCTTCAGAACGGGGTAAGCAGTTTCTTTCCTGTTTACTGGGGTGTGACTAATGCTTTTCTTGATTTACTCTGAAACTGGTCAGAGGCAACTGCATAGCCTCTCTTCTTCCTATGTGGTGTAATTTGGAATGATATAAATTCTCTTAATCCCCAACTCTTAAGAGTTCTTCAGATTAATTTGAAATGAGGTCATTTGTGTTTATTAAGCAAACTGCAAAATGAGTTCTTTGAGCGGCTCTGGTCTTAATTTATATCATCTGCTCCTTTGCTCTCAGGAAGACAGAACTCCCTCTCTGGGTGCCAGCAAGCTTTCAAATAGCTAGAGTGACAGCTTATATCAATTTGATTCTGTGATTTACTATTCCAACATAATGATTGAAGAAAATCTTGCTTTTGTCTGTTACAGCGAATGCTTTGCTTCATACAGTAGCACTTTGCCACAGTTCATCTGATTCAGAATAATCCCTGTAACTTGTTCTGAGGAGGGAGCTGAAAAGATCTTTTAGAGGAATGAAACAATGTGTTCTCAAAGGGGCCCTTACTTCTGAAGGGAATGAAAGGCCAATGAATAGTTGGTCAAGATATGTCTCCATTCTGCTCTGCCATTCCTGGGAGATTTTACAAATGTGTGTTGATATTGGCACTGTAAAAGAGAATCCCAATAGCTTGATGTTATGGTGGGGAAACTGTCAGTTATGTGATTTATTTTCTGGAGGACTCAAATTGTAAAGTGGAGTGAAAATTTTAATTTCCTAATGAAACCATGCCTGGGCCTGCACTGGAACCCTGCTCTTGCTGATTAGCCTGAGAAACAGATGTCCTGTGTGAGAGACACAGAGAATTTGTAACTAAGAGCACTGCTACACGAGAACAGCGAGAAGCAGCCAACACTGCAACATATTTGCCAGCAAAGATAGATATAAAATTGAAAAATATAAAATGCTTGTATATGTTTTGTAGGCTGATCTCTTACGATTTGATGGTTATTTGCCCTACAACTCAGAGGCTCTGACTCCCCCTTGGTCTCACTGTAAGGTTTCAGCTTGAAGTCACAGCTGAACTAAATCACTGAGCCTGCTGTGCTCTGAATCTGGCAGGAAGACACACCCTTTATGAGGCTTTGGCAAGGGGCATCTGGGAAAGATGGTCCATGTCAGTCAATTTTGTTTGCTGCCAAGAAACTCTTTCAGCAACTGGCTGAAACAAGCTGCTGCTGGGCCTGGAGTGGTGGGAGTGCACCATTGTGGGGAAATAGTGCCATTGTTTTTTCCAGTGTCTTGCCTGGCACTGATGTCCTTAGGCTATGAGTGCTTCCCAGACATTAAGTAATTTGTATGTAGCATGCCTTGCTCTGCCAGCTGGAGCCAACAATAAAAGTTCCTATTGTGAGTACCTGGAGGAAGAGAATGCTGTCTGAACTTTGCTGATGTGTATGGGTGATGTTTACACGTGTGAAATGAGGGTGTGAGCAGAGGGGCAGCGCTGATCTCTGGGGACACAACAGGGCCCAAGGGAACGGCATGGAGCTGGGGCAGAGAGAAAAGCTCTGCCCCAGAGAGTGGTGGGCACAACTCTGAGCTGTTGAGGTTCGGGGAGCACTGGAACACTGCTCTCAGCCAAGGGCTTGGGTGGTGTAGCTGGGATCCGGGTGTTAGATTCCATTATTCTTGTGGGTCCTTTCCAATGTGGAGCATTGCATGATTTTGTTATCTTAGTTTTTTGGAGTAAAGTATAGAAGCTTCAAACTCACTTGATAATTCATAAGTCTGTGGAAATACCCGATTACCTTAATACGCTACAAAAGCCCCATAGGATATACAGAGAGGGCCTGAATTTTGATTTATTCTCGTGTGTGGGGGAGGAAATCCTTCCTGATCTGAAACAGGAAAGTTTTGTTTATCTGTACTCTGCAAGCAAGGCCAGCATTAAGACAATACATCAGTGTGAGTTCACGTAACTCTGTTCTCCTCAGCCCTGTTGGAAGTGAGAAAGAAAATGCAGAGAGGCATTCCAGTTGCCAGTGAGGTGGTGTGATATGATGATCATCCATCTTGATGTGCTGAAGAGTATTTGAAATGTTTTTTCTCAAGTTATTTACTCCCCTGGATTTACTATGTTGTGTATTTAAGAGTAACTCCTTGGCATTTCAGACTAGCTGCATGTTTCATAAAGAATGCAGACTTGAGTCAGTTTCTCCCGAAGCATTAGCCTGGGTAGTCTATGAATCATGTTTTCTTTAACTGGAGTAATCCAAAATCACTCCCTTGCACTTGTCGAGAATCTGGCCTTGGCTTTGATACCTGTCATATGCATGTAGTTTCTGTTTTGATATGGTTTAATTTTTAGGGAGTCTTATGTGGAGCCAGGAGTTGGACTCGATGATCCTTGTGGGCCCCTTCCAACTCAGATGTTCTATGATTCTATTATTTGCTTATTCCAATGCAACCAATTGCTCTTTTCTTTCCAGCACTGCTTTGTGTAAATAACACTATCACTAAATCATGACACGAGTTCTAGCTTTCTGTTTTCCTGTTCATATGTTCAGGTGACGCTGAAGTAGTTAACTCAGTATTTAGTCAAATCAGTTTGCAGACTCAGTTGAGCAATTATTTATGTTCTGGTACATGTCAGAAGAGTAAAGCATCAAGGCTTGCATAGTACAGACCCTGGGGATTTAAATATTTGTGACAGAAGAGGTGCTGTTTAATGGAAAGGCTGAGAAAGGATTTCATAGTAAATCATCCCAGATCTTAAGCTGTCCAGGGAAAAGGGAACTGAAGGATAGTGACAACCAGAAACCAGCCTTGCTTTTACTTCAAACAGAAAGCCTTCAGTATAAAAGAGAATGCTGCTAAGCTACAGGTGTATGATCTCATGGAATTCAGTGCATTTTTTTCATAGTCCTGGATATGAAGTACTGTATAATATGCTTTAGTGATGGACAGCTTTAAGTTGAAATAAATAATGAGTAGTCTATATGTAATAGTAGATGCTACTGTGATGCGCAGTCTTCAACTATAGGTGTTTACCTGGAAATGCTGGCTCTTGGCAGAACGATGCTGAAGGAGAGATTCTGTGACTACAGAAGGTGTTTGCCTGCTAATGTATTCTTATTATTGCTTATAAAATTCTGTAGCAAGCTAAATGTACTCTTTACTAGGAGGAGGGGTGTCACAGGGGAAGTATAATGTCAGAATTTGTTCATGGAAGGAGTGATTAGGCATTGGATTGGGCTGCCCAGGGAAGTGGTAGAATCACCATCCCTGGAGATATTTAAGAGATGTGTGGATGTGGTGCTTAGGGTATGGTTTAGGAGTGGACTTGTTAATTTTATGTAATGACTGGACTTCATGATCTTATGGATCATTTCCAGCCTAAGTTATCCTAGAAGTCTGTGTGCAGCTAGTCACAAGCAATGATATTTTCATGTTTTCTAACTGCCCCCTCAGCTCTGAAGGAAAACAAATAATAATAATAAAAAAAGGTAGACATCTCTTAGAAATAGAAACTGAAATATCCAGCCAGAAGTATGATTATTTGCTGCTGAAGGCTTATTTCAGTGCATTCTTTTTTTTTTTTTTTTTTCATCTTCTGGTTCATCTCTGTCTGCTTTAGTAGACAAAATCAGCTCTTTCCATGACTGGACCAGAAGTGGTGTGTTTGGCTAGACAAGTCAGTTCTATTATTTTTGCCCAAGAAGGCTTAATAGAGTGGTTCTTGGTCTATGTTTAGTATAATACTTGCTCTGTTACATCTGATATGTCTTGATATGTCTTTGCTCTATTTCATCTCCTCTTGAGATATATTTCAAAGTAAGACAGGACAGACCTAGGCAATCCTACTCACCTCAGTGTTGCTCAATTTTTCCTTTTTTATCTAGCTACCTAACATAACTTGGTCCATACTGTTAAACTACTGTAATTATTTTTCTTATAAAAAAAAAAAAAGTTGGGGTACAAATTATAGGAATACAAACATGATGTCTGATTTAATTATCATTCTCTAGATTTGCATTACTTCTAAGTATGTTAAAAATGTTTGGATGAATCAGTCTGAGTTGACAGCTGTGCTATCAGAATGCTACTCTTGAGACTAGGTGGGAGAGGAGAGTAGCAAGGTTATAAGGGGCAAGCTAGAAAGCTCTGACTTGAAAAAGTAATTCAATCTTCTCACTTGGAGAGCCTCTGTTAAGTACAAGCTATGAATTGCTCTGATGTCGTTCTGAATGGTATTTAAGAACTGCAGTGAGATGCTGTATCCAACCAAAGACCATGAAGGGGAAAGGAGGGCAGTGTATTTGCTTGGGTGCCTCTTAAATTTGTAACTTTAGAAGTGTAGATTCTCTGAGTACTGATGCATGCATGCATGCTTCTAAGAAAGTCTTTGGTGTGAATTGAAGGGTTTGATGCTAACAAGCTTATTCTCCAGTGTTATTTTATGTTTCGTTGTTCTTTGCTGAAATTTTGACTAAAATGTATTACTTCTTCCGTAACAGTGATTTACCTTTGAATTCAAAAGAAGGCCAAGTCTACAGGAATTTAGGTTAGAGCAGTTCCAAAAGCAGAGCACAACCTGATCTGTAATAGTTGTCCTTGGAGGTAACTGATGCCAGACTCGAATACTGTTCTGATGCTTTGTTATTAGAGTGCTGACAGATTACAAATTCTGTCTGCTATAATATTAGCAAGGTTTCTTTTCTCAGACCTCCCAGCGAAAATCCAGGTAGTCAGCTCTACTCTTCTGGAACTTGCTCTGGTTCTTGGTTTCAGTGTTCATGTAGGGATATTTTGTGGATTTTGCTAATTTGTGGGAAGATATGAACCATTCTGGCTCATCATTATGTGTGGTGTGGAGTCTTGTGAAGCAGATAACCATCTTTTGTTGTGCTGCTGTGGTCCCACTGTAAGCTTAATAGTAAGGTGTGTTCTGCTTATTTTCAAAATGCACAAGGAGATACCATAGTTATCCAGCAGTGCTGGCTGATAAGACTACTAGAACTGAGAATAACTGACA